TCACGGTTTACAGGTAGAAATAAAAAGCGGACCCGAATCATACCAGGTCATACTAGCGAAATGAGAAAAGGCATAGCTAGCTAAAAGATGAGCAACAGCATTAGCAGTTCTACGAACATGGCGGAAGGTGATATCATTAAAACTTGAGAGTAGAGCAGTAATATCTTCAATGAGCAGACCGAACGGTGATCGGCTCAGTTTGTGAAGATGGGTAAGTAAAATCTCAGCATCCGTCTCTACTACCAGGCCATCCCAGTGATGGCGTTTCAGCCAGCTTAGAGCTTCCCTGACCGCGAGTGCTTCGGCTTCCCTTGGACTCAATGGACCTGGACGAACATCAGAAATTGCAGCCACAAAAAACCCATGATGATCGCGAATAATCCAACCCATACCGATGTGAGAAGAATTGTGATGAATCGAAGCATCAATGTTTAGTTTCAATTTACCATTTGGAGGAGCAGCCCATAGCTCTTGTACCTGCTGCAATCTGGAATACTGCACAGTAGTGGTTTTCCTTGCATTCTTCCACTCTCTAAGAAAAGCAATTGAATGAGTGACAACAGATCGTGGAGGTGTGTTTAGCATATTCCAGATTTTCTTGTTTCGTGCCTCCCAAATACCCCAGCAAACAGTAATAAAATGAATGAGCTCTGTCTGAGTGAGAGTGTCAAACCTGCTTCTTAACCAATTTAGAAGATCACCTCCAGTCGTGCAACCCCAATCCCTACCATATGCATTCCAGACTTGTGTTGCATAAGTACAATTTGCAAAAATATGCATCAAAGATTCATCATCCCTGCCACACAATTGACATAAACCATCACATTGGACAGAACGGTTTCGTAAAAGATCTTTGGTATGCAATGTAAAAGAACATAAATTCCAGAAAAAACATTTGATCTTTGGAGGCAATAAAAAATTCCACATAACTGTCCAACCCTTCCAATTTGCCACAGTGCACTCTCCCACCAGAAATTTGTAAGCACTCTTTACCGAATAGAAACCATTTACTTCCCCACTCCAATAAATAGTGTCTGGTTTACAAGTTATAGGTATGGGGATTTTTAGGATCAGATTTGTATCCCGATCGCAAAATAAATCATTAAGAATGTCCACATCCCAAGAGGTACGATCCATAGTCATGAGGCCAGCAGGTTTTATATGTTGGAGGTGGGCATAGATTGGTGTTTCAAGATAAGGATAGGTAGAGTCGGGTAACCATGGGTCGTCCCCTTATAGTACTGCCATCCCCTAATCTCCATCTATAGGCATCCCTCAAATAGTTCGTTGCTTCCCACAAACTTTTCCAAACATATGAAGGACGAGTGCCAATTTTTGCATCAAGAACAGAAGTGGATGGGAAGTATTTTGCTTTAACAACTTTGGTGATTAAGGCATCAGGTCTAGTCAACAATCCCCACACTTGTTTACCAAGAAGAGCAATATTCATTTCCCGAATTCTCCGGAAACCCAATCCACCCATAGATTTTGGCTTACAAAGGTCTGCCCACCTCCTCCATCTAATGCCTCTCCTACCCTCCCTCGCCTCGCACCCCCACCAATAGGAGTTCATAAGTCTCTCAATCTCCTCACATAGACCCTTTGGCAACAGGAGGACTTGCATAGCGTAATTAGGAATAGATTGCAGCACATTTTTTAGTAGGATTTCGCGCCCAGCCCGTGACATAAAACGATTACCCCATTGGCCTATCCTAGTTTTTATCTTATCTTTTATCCACCCCAAGACATCTCTCTTATTTCTCCCAACCAGACCTGGCAAGCCCAAATAAAAACTTCCCAAACCAGTTTGACGGACCCCCAATTCAGCACAGAGAATATCCTTATCTACCCAATTCACATTCGACCCAAAGCTCATAACGGACTTGTCATAATTAACAATCTGTCCAGTTGCAGCACCAAAAGTGTTCAAGACATCATTTATAACCCCAACCTCCCTATAATTGGCTCTAAAGAAAAGAAGCAGGTCGTCAGCAAAACATAAGTGACTAATCCCCGGGGCATTCCTGGCAATACGGACCCCCGTTATGCCCCCCATTTCCTCCTGTACTCGTAACATACCACTCAATCCCTCAATAACCAAAAGGAATAGATATGGTGATAAGGGATCACCTTAACGTAGTCCTCGACCCGGAATAACAGGGCCCCAAGCTTCCCCCTCGAACAAAATATGGTAATCCACAGTAGAATAACAAGACCGCATAAGCTTTACCCAATGAGCAGAAAAACCCATACACAACATGACTGCCTCCATATAACCCCATTCAACTCTATCAAAAGCTTTACTCATATCCAACTTTAGGGCAACAAATTTTTCAGGAGTGTGCTGGTTACTACAATGCATAAAATGAACTACCTCATAAGCTAAAAAAACATTGTCAACTATTGAGCGGCCTGGGACAAAGGCACTTTGAGATTCTGATATTAAACCCCCCATTATATGCTTTAGCCGAGAGGCTAGGACCTTTGCGAGGATTCTATAGAGGACAATACATAACGCAATCGGGCGCAGGTCACCCATGGATGTAGCCTGTTTAACTTTTGGGATAAGAGCAATATGAGTATTGTTTAGGTCATTTGGTAGAGCCCCCGAACTAACCACCGCATTGCATAAAGATACCACCTCCCCCTTCAAGATATCCCAGTATTGTTGGTAAAACCCCGGGGTTAGACCATCCGGCCCCGGAGATTTATCGGGGTACATTGAAAAAAGAGCAGCACGCACACCTCATCCTCAGTTACCACCCTCAAGAGATTCTCATTTTGGATGTTTGTTACCGTATTTTGCATACCAGAGACTACCCGACTCACATCCCCTGGGGTTGAAGAGAATAGGTCCTGGAAATAAGATATTGCCACCCCTGCTACCTGGTCCCTCCCCTCAACCCAAACCCCAGCTGCATTTTTTAGGCGGTGACTGGTATTTCTTCTTTGTCTCTGGCGAGCTAAAGTGTGGAAATAACGGGTATTCATATCCCCGTCCCGAAGCCAAAATTGTTTGGCCCTTTATTGCTAGTATGTATTCTGATCCTCCGACAATTGGCAGTATGTTTTCTGGGCACTTTTGTACCCTTTTAGGCTTCTATCATCAGTTAAAATTTTTGTCCTATCCATAGCAGCACGACAAGCTTCTAACAGTCCCCTAGTCTCCCTCTTCCGCCTTCTACCCCATTGTTGCAAGGAACCACAACAGACCGCCAGCTTGTCCTGTAACCCCAAGTCAGAATAGCCGCCCCAAACACCCTCCACGACCTCACGACAATACCCCTCTCTCAACCACTCATTTTCAAAACGGAAACAACGAGAACGACGAGGCTGGGGGTGATGAACTGGGGTTAAAAGTAGAGGAATGTGGTCACTACCTCCGCAGGATATAGATTGTGCATGGGCATCACGGTAAAGATCAACCCACCCATCGGAACACAAAACCCGATCTAACTTTTCCTGGACCAATGTACCCAAACACCTCCCTCTTTCCCAAGTATATTGACTACCAGAGAAGGGGAAATCAGATAGACCACTATCCCTAATTGCCTCCCTAAAACCATTTAAAAGGTGGACAGGGTGAGGAACCCTCCCCATTTTTTCATTTTGTTCCAATAAATCGTTGAAATCTCCCATTACCACCCAAGGTAAAAGAGATAGGGAAGAGAGATACCTTAATAAGTTCCAAGAGTCTTTCCGTTGTGACCAGTCCAGGTAGCCATAGAATCCGGTGTATCTCCATTCCGGAAGCCCAGCAGCAAGACGGATGATAGCGTCAATGTGACGTTGAGAATATCCAGTGATTCGCAGTTCAATATCATCGGACCAAATGAGAGCTAGTCCTCCAGGTCTGCCAACCGCATCCACCACTAACGCATGTTTGTAACCCAACTTGTGTCGAACAGAAGTCAATTTAGTGTGACCACACATAGTCTCACAAAGAAAAATAACTTTCGGCCTATGAAGACGGACCAGGTCCGATAGAACATGAACTGTCATAGGCGGGCCAAGCCCACAACAGTTCCAAGCTAGGAAACTCATTGGGTCTGGCGGGCCTGCATCGCAGACCCGCCTCAAAGGTGGTAGAAACATTTGAGATGTCCATCATATTTGGGCCTCCATCAGGCCCAACTGCTTCTTCATTTAAGTCCACAACCCGACGTCTCTTAGGATCCACAAAAATAACCCCATCTTCCTCTGTGCGTTGAAGACCATTAAAAGCCTCATTCATAGCTTCCTCCACTAGTGGCTCTCCGGTTATATTATCTGCATTTATATTCCCCTCACCGGTCATTGAATGAGATCCATTCACAAAACCGTTACTATTCAAAAGACCATTAATCATTGTCTCTTGGGATTCGTCGGTGAGACTCTTCGACTTTTCCGTCACCAGCCAACGGTTTACTGGCACCGTGTTCGAGCGTCCTCCGGCGCGGAGGTCAAGACCAAACGGTTTTGCAGTCCCAGCCCCCGGCACTCCATGAACGGAAGGACAAAATCGATCAGAATGACCAATAATCCCACAAGCAAAGCAGAAGTTGGGCAGACGTTCATACTTCAATTGGACCCAAAACCAATCCCCCCTGGTTTCTTTAGCTTCATAGTTTTCTTCAGGGTTTGGTGATGTTCAACCGGACTCTATTACGCATGAACGATTTCCACAAACCATCGAAATTTGAAGGGTCAGCCATGACATAGGTACCAAGATATTGACCAATCATTTTCGCCACCTTTTCAGATATGAAACCTACTAGAAGTTGGTGAACTTGTATCCAAAAGGCAGAAGTGTCTAGGGCCACTGCTCTTGGATTGTCTTCAGGCTGTATGCGTTCCTGAACAACAAGATTCTGATCAAAGGACCATGGTCCCTCCTCCATAACTCTGATGATATCAAGCTCATGATAAAATTGAAAAAGATAACGACCTTGGCCATGTTCCCGAATGCTAACACCCTCACGAGGGCGCCAAACACTGGATATAACCTCCCCGAAAGATCGGAAAACGCACCGGACGCTCGATGACAATCCGGCCGACCGCAGCAAAGCGCATATCAACAGACGAAACATCATTCGCATCTAATTCCACAATCAGACCATCGTTTTCTTCCTCAATTTCCAAAGCCGCACACGCCTCTTCCAAGGTAGTAGCCATCGCGGAAGGAGAGAAGAAACAGGGTAACGAAGCCAAGACGTAGTGGTAGGGAAACCAAAAGAAAAAAAGAACCAAAGAGGATAGAGGAAAGCCATAGCGAGAACTCGAAATAGACGAGAGGAAAAAACTATACAGAAAATCTCATTTAGATTATCATTTTTTTAACATACTCTCTCAACGTTGGACTCGAAGAGTAACCAGAGTGGTTAACTTACGAGTGGAATGAGCTGAAGATCAGAAGACTGAAGATTTGAATAGTAGAAGATATCAAGACCGAAAGGTTGCAAAGACCGAGAGATGGAATGGTTTACCTTTCGAACTGTTGCAAGACCGAATGGTAAAGACAACCATTCGTAACCGAATGGTCGCAAAGGTCAAAGATATGAAGGACCTACCTTTTGAGGAGTTAAGGGACGAGTGGTAAGGTCAACCATTCGTATCCGAGAGAACCTAAGGCTCGAGGCGTTAACCTAGTTAACCACTCGATATGATTGCTCGAAACATTCTCTGATCTGAACAGTCCGGAACCTTAAAAAGATGAGCAAATATGTCCAAGGCAATGAGAGTCATAGGAACATATCCCAAGGTTGATATTTCCGTTAAATGCCGTGACATTTTGTGCAGAACAAAAATCAAAATTCATCACAAAATAAGTCTTTAACGGCTGAAAAATCTAACACGCTCACCTACCCTTCGGATTACCCGCTGGTCAATAGGTGTTTGAAATTGGTTCTACCCTCCAACGGAACTATTTCAACATGCCTATAAATACCTTCTTCCAAGACTGAAGAAGGAGTTTGTCATTTTAAAATTTCTTAAGTGTGAAAAACTTTCAAGTGTTCAATCTAGCAACCAGTGATAAAGAGAAAGAGAGACAAAGCCCGTAAAAGTTTACATCCAGTTTTCAGAGACTTGTGCTGCTTCAAATGTGAAAGATCAAGATCCAAGAAACCAATATCTCTAGTTGGAGAAGAAGAAAACCGTTTTCTTCAACCTTGTATTCTATACTCGGTAGCAGTAGAATGAGGCAGTGTAAACTCATTTTAGGAGTTGAAAAACCTGGTGTGGAGTTCACGTCTGGCTTTGTGTTCAAAGCGTGAACGTCTTGGTTATTGTTCTGGTGATAGTGCGATTCTCTACGCATTATGGAAAAGAGTGGAGTAGGCTCATTATAGCCGAACCACTATAAAAATCTGTCTCACTCCCTCTATTTATTTATTTACTGTTATCACTGCATAATATTTAATCAAACCTAAGAATTTGATAAGATTAAACTAACATACAAAGAACTTCAAAAAGGGTTGACAAATATTTTCCGTTGTGCACTCTGACCAAGTTTTTAAAGTTACCTTTCGGTTGCTTTAACCATTCGCGAAAGTTTTCAAAATCTTCCAAGTCTATTCACTCCCCACCCTCTCCCCACCCCCATAGACTTGAGCCGTAACCCTCTCTGTGACCAACAATTACTAATTATAAAATTAACTATTATTATTTATTTATTTTTTTTGAATGCTATTATTATTTATTTAATTAATAGTTAATTCATGCTAGATTTATACGCTCATCCATCCATATACATATGCCAATATATTTGATAAATTATATCATTGATCATGGTTCACTTTGCACAATGAGACCTTTTTTTTATTATTATTATTATTTAGTAAAAATCTCGCTTTATAAAATATAGTTGGGATGGTTCTCGTTTGTTATCAACTACATAGTATAATAAAGATATTTATTAATTGTGTAATGTAATATATTTATCATTTTGGAAAAAGAAAATTCCATTGTTGTTATTGAATGTTGAACACAAGTACAAATTGTTATCATAAAGACAAAAATCTCGATTATTATTATTATTATTATTATTATTATTATTATTATTATTATTATTATTATTATTATTATTATTATTATTATTATTATTATTATTATTATTATTATTATTATTTTGAAATGTGTTGTAAGAAAGAAATAGGGTCCAAAATTGTGGTGGCTAACAACATGAAGTAGACACAGGCAGGCACACAGCTGTGAACAGCCAAAGGTTTCAATCAAGTTGGCGAGGAACAACTCTCAAATAAGTCTAATAAGTTCAATTCGATCAAGAATATTAATCAGAACTAATTTTGTCTTTCTATATATTAATTGTTTAATTCACATTCATTATTAAGTGTACTAGCATTTTGTATGAACAATGTGCGAATAATTCATGTACAATATTAAAATATTAATAAATAAAATAATTAAAATTTTTAATTCAAATTATATTTAGCAATTTCTTATAGTAGTAAATTTTAATTATATATTTAAAAAAGAGTGAATTTCATTTTTGGTCTTATTGTTTGAGAGGCTTTTCTAATTTTAGGTCACCATAATTATTTTTGCCACATTGCATTCACTATTATTAAAAATGTTTCAATTTTAATCCACTTTAAGATTTTTCGTGGACTAAAATTGAAACACTTTTAATAATAGTGGACGCATGCAATGTGGCAAAAATAATTATGGTGGACTAAAATTGGAATAACCACCCCTATAACAGTAGGACCAAAAATGGAATTC